GTTTATCTGCAGTTAGTTACACGAATTCAGTTATGGGATGAAATCGGATAGGGATGAAATTGTTTAGAGATGAACGGGTTTAAGAGTTTAAGAGTTTTTAAGAGTTTTAGCCAAATGCTTTATAATATAGTATAGATAATCTTTTATAAAGATAATTAAATATTATGTTAAAACTCAATTATTATCGTGATTATATTTTAAATTTTTTATATTTAAAATAAGATATTTATCCTGTATTTAATTATATTTATCAGCAGTTAGTTATACGAATTCAAAATTGAAGCTTTAATAAGTAGTACTTACACACAATTTTACTTGTAATCATGAATTTTTAAGTAATATACATCAATAAACAATATTTCAAGCATAAAAATAGTTTTTAAGAATTTTTTTCAAATGTCTTATAATATAGTATAGATAACTTAATTTAAATTGTTTTTATTAACTCATTGAGTAATAATAGAAAACATATGAATATATGTATATATATATATATATATATATATTTATTTAGAGAGAGAGAGAGAGAGGAGGTTCATTTGAGAAGTGATAAGTATTTGAGAAGTAAATAATTGATCATAGCCCTTCATACGGTCAATATTGGTCAAAAATTGCGACTTTAATTGGTCAAGCGAAAAATAGAGGGGTAGTTTCATAACTGTTACAAATAAGTGACAAACAAATCACAAATGTATATGTAAACTCTTAGTTCATATGTGAATCAATTAATTAGTTCATATGTAAATCACACAAGATTATATGTGACTCAATTAAATATTTCATATGTGAATTACATGGGTTCACGTATAAAAATATAGTTCATATGTGAATTACATTGGTCCATATATATATATATATATTTGTTTTGCCGCTTATTTGTCAAAATTTACGAAACTACTCATCTATCTTCCATATACAATGCGAGAAATTATCCGGTGTTTCACAATTAAAACCACACATCTTGACTAGATGAAGGAATATGATCATTTATTTACTTCTCAAACACTTACCATTTTTCAAATGAACCTATAGTTATATATATAAAGAGAGAGAGAAAGAGAAATTCTCATAAGTCACGTCTTAAAAAACGTTATGACTTTACCACCATGCCAATCCTCACGTTATTTCGAACCTTAATATTTTGGGTAGAGTATATATATGTATATATATATATATATATACACACACACATAGATAGAGAGAGAGAAATTCTCATAAGTTACGCCTTGAAAAACGTTATGACTTCGCCACCATGCCAATCCTCACGTTATTTAAAACCTTAATTTTTTTTTTTGATTAACCTGGATATCCAACCAGCTATGCGAGCCGACTAATCCCAGGGCGACCATCTGTTTTGCAGATAGCCCGGAGTCATCGCATTTGAATCTCCGTAGCCACAAGGGGATTTTTATTTCTTCTTGGATTTGAACATGTGACCTCCTGGTACTTTTGACCTTTTGGAGCCAAGCTCAAACCAATCATGCACCACCATTGTAGTTAGAACCTTAATATTTTGGGTAGAGTAAAAGTTTCTATACATTATATCCCTTTAAACCATATCTACATGAGATTTACTGAGTTTGTTGGATTTTTATGACAGATGTCAAATGTGAAATATCTAGTTGCTAAATTGGATATCTGATGATATATCTTTCTAGATAGCTTTGAATTTGCCCTCTGAAGGGTTGTTTGAATGCTCGAAGGCTTATTTAGTGACGTTAAAGATTTGGAGTGTTGCGCCAATGGCTTTAAACATCCCGATCTTGCTTTAGTTTAACCGTTTGCATTTTACAATTACATATGGACAAAATCTTCGTCGGTTCACCTTCTAAAGTCACATCAAACATCATTATACAATTAGGTTGAATGTCACGTATAATAGGGTTTTCCTGTTGGAACCTTATTTAAATCGAATCATATAATTGGAACGTAAAAGTTAGTGCTTTGATGCAGTTGATAGGAGGTCAAAATTAACACATAGAAATAGGTTCATCTGCTCTCACTCGCCTTTTATAATAATAGACGCAAATTGATTGTAATGTAGATGGCTTAAAAAATTTATATGATTAAACCAAAAAATAAATTACTTCGTTACTGAACTAAAACTAAATTACAAAAAAAAATGAGAACTTTTAAATAGATATTTTTTTCCCAAAATTTTATGATATCTTTAAGTTTATATTTTATTAAAAAATAAAAACATTATCCATTTTCAAGACCACATAAAATCATATTATAAATTGACAGGGACAAAAAAAAAGTATGTAATAAATATTCAAATTGGAACTTTCAAGGATTTTATAACTTCGTTTCAATCCTAAGTCTATGGAGTGTGTGAACGAGAGTGATCTGATTACATAACTGTAAAAGTGTAAAATCTAAAGTTAAAAAATAGTCACATATTATAAAAAACGACACATGATGGCATAACTCAAGGCATCTTGGTATGAATCAAACCTTGCACAAACGTTATATGCATTATTGTAACGGTGAAGATGCGTCGTACACCATAACACATCTTTTCGAGCTATGATTAGTTGAGGTAAACACAAATTGATCCCTGTACCTATGGTTATAAAAAGAGAAATTCTATTTGGTATTTCATATAACTTACGAAAATGCGTCGTACACCAATTATGTTGTGTCCCCTCCGTGATTGTGTGGTGTCCTTATCCCCAAAGCCAAATACGATGACATATAAAACAAATATTTCGTATAGCTTATGAAAACATTATCCCAAAAAAACTCACGACTGACAACGGGGCCGAGAATCCTCTGGACTCTAATTATTGTATAGATTTTATAATCCTCATCCCTATCTTAATACTTGTTGTGGAATATGATTGTATCCCATCGCCATCTTCAACTAGGAACGTGGATCTTTAACATGAAATTACATATTTTCCCTCATTTATCTAATTGCAATATATATATATATATAGAGAGAGAGAGAGAGAGATATACATGTCCTACCGAGACAGAATTTGTAAGTTGTTATCATTTTACTAT